CCACTGCTCACCATTCCCCTGTGTGCACCAGATCTGCAGAGAGGAGTGGGGCAGGGTGGCCTCACAGGTTGCATTTTCAGGCTCCTACCTACTGATTTTCCACTGGTTTTAGCCAATGTGAGACCCTGGTGGGAAGTAAAGGAGGGAGGGAGAAGCCCCAGGCTACTTCTCTTTCTCCCTTAGTAAGTGGGGCAGCATCTCCAGTCAGTCCGCCATGATTTTGGCTCCCACAGGACAGGTCCCTGAACTTTAGTTGCACCCCCCCTCTTTCCTCTGCTCTTCTTTTCCCCATGGTGCCAAGGGGTGCTGGTAGCTTCTTGCTGTTCCTAATCTCTGGGTTACAGCACCATTCTCAGTTGGCTTTACAGTTCTTTATCACCTGTGTAACAAATGCCTGCTTTAAATTTCCTGGGTAAAATATTCAGTGATTTCTGTTCTTCTGGTTGGACCCTGACCAATAATACCCAAAGCCTCTACCCACAGTGGCCAATTTATATCCTATGGTAAAGAGATACAAAGAAGACTCTTTGTGATTGATTTCTGTTTTAGTGACCTGTATGATAACACAGACTTGTTTTCTCACCAGGCAAATATTTCTTGTAAGTTTTTGGCTTAAAACAGTCATTGTAATTTACATGTGGATTTAGTTGATGGCAGACTGGACTACTTGCTTAGATTTTTATTTGCTGCTGATAGATGTTATTCCTTTTTATCCTGATCACATGCTTATTTAAGGGCTTGATTTTTATTGTCACTTTATTTTGCTTTATAAAGATACCATTGTCATTGCCTATGTAAATCTAGTCAACATTTTAAAATTATTTAACTGCTGACATCTGCAAAATGTGCACCTTTTCAATTAGTAAAACTCACATCACTTCGTGATCATGATTAAGAATTAAATTGGGAAGCATCCAGATTGATGCCTGGGTTCGGCAAAATTGTTTGAGATGGCTTTACTGTCCTTTATATAATAATGTGTGACAGATGAGTGAACCTTCTGTCTTTTGGCTCTGTCCAGTGGAGGGGAAAACCCTACAATAAATGACTTCTTTTTACTTTGTTAGAAACATCTTTGCCGAGAACTGAGGTCATAAGTAAATGTAAAGTCAGAGACCAGCAAGCACATGGCCCCAGATGTTTGGTCCTGTGACTGTGCAGCAGGAAGGGAGGTGACTCATTTTGTAGGACTTTGGAGGTGCTGAATATTTTCTCTAGAGAAAGAGAACATACATTTCAGATGAAACAAGAAAACACAGCCATTTTTCTCTTACATAACACTTCTGAACCTTGATAGCATTTTTGACGTAACACTAAAGTATTATTGTAGTAAGATTTATTTTGTGTGTCAACAGTCTGTCCTCGTGTAAGATGCTGGATTAATATATAATGACCATATTTAAAACCTCAAAATCCAGAACAGACATTTTTGAAATCCAGACTCGACATCTTGATTTTGAAGACTCCTTGAGGTAAATGGCGGCCCTTGCCTGACCTAGCATCTTAAGATGAATGGCCCTCCCAATGGCCATCTTTTATATTAGCTATTAATGAGTATTATTGAGCCTCTGACTAATTCTGAAAAGCACTTTGGTGAATTATAATTGGGGCTGTGATTTACTAATTATGAAGACTGACAGGTCATTCCTTAGCCCTATAGTTGGTGTAGAAGCAGAGAAAAGCACCCTGATGATCAGCATTTCCTTAACGCGGGATAGGGAAGAAGGGTGAGTCAGAAGCTTAATTCAGCCAAAGTAGATTATTTTTGTTAGCCATTTCTGGATTTTACTTTTATTAAAAATGGCAGGGAAATACCACCGAAGTTTGGAAGGGAAGTCTCTTGTCCACATCTCCTTCTGATATTCAGTATATTAAAGCATCATCCATCACATCTACTCACTAGTGTTAAGTGGTTCATTATAGTCAGTGAACCACAAAATAGTCTAGGTAGAGGGACAGAATTCAGAATCATGGACCACGTAACTGATTATTCCTAGAAGGGAAAAGTCTGATTCTTTGTGTTCACTGGATTTATTGGAAGTTTGGATGCGTTTATCTACCTGTGTTCCTAAACCATCTGAAGGAAAGGACAGAACAGTCTAACATGTAAATAGGACAACTCAATTCAAACTAAATTCAAATTCAATCTAAAAACAAATACAGAACTTCATTCTTAAATGGAAACTGGGTATTGAGACTCCTACTTCCTTGTTTTGTATCCTTTCTTTCCCATAATGCTATTGCACATGGATTATTGGCTGTTACATTTTGCTTTATTGTAGTTTCTTTTGAAATTTTTTTCCTATAGGGTAGCAACTGTGTGTGTGTTGGCAGGGGTGCGGGGGTGGTTCTGTCATATTTCAAGATCAGAATGGGTCCGGAAGCTGTGTTTTTTGCAAAGCACTTCAACATTCTCTATTTGTTTCATGGGCTCCTGAGTCTGAGGGCTCCCTAAGTTTCAGTCCTGAATCTCCTGTGCTCGCTATGCTCTTTTCCTTGTAGTCTTTATGTCATCATATTATATGTAATATTAGTTATGTGATGCTTTATGGCACAACAGACAACTCTCTTCAACCCTTAGTGTCCAGGGTGCCATATCCTCCTGGTTTTCTCCTGTCTCCCTGACCATTCCTTCCTGGCCTCCTTTGTCAGCTCCCTCTCCTCTATACAACATCTAAATATTGTAGTTCCTTAAAGGCTTGGTCTTGAACCCTTTTTTCCTACACTCTATCCTGTTTCAGGAGCCTCATACATATTGCTTGCTCTCCTTGGAACTCCTTTCCCTCCCCTTTTCCTGTCTAAATCATACTCCTTTTTCTTCCCTGCTCCTGTCCATGGTCCCCATGTGCTGGACCACTTCAGGCACACCCTGTGCCTTCCCACTGCAATCTTCACACTTTCGCTCATTCCTTTTTTTTTTTCTGTCTGAATACCAAATTCTACTTTTCATTGCGCAGCTAAAAAGCCACGTTAATTCATGAAGCTTTGTTATACTCATCAAAGATTGATTTCTTTTAAAAAAATTCAGATCAGTTGATACACTTCCGTACCACTTGTAGCCCTCTTTGCATTTATCTCCTGTTATTCTTTTTGTGTCTCTGTGTTGTATCCCTTATTAGACAGTGAACTCCCAGAGGGCAAGGATCTTAACTTAATTGTAGCTCCTGTAGAACACATCCTAGTGTCTAATACATAGCACTGAACACAATAAATATGTACTAGGCTAAACTAAAATAATCAGTACATCAAGCAAAGAGAGATATTTACCCTATACTGCTGAGATTCCTCATTCGCGTTTCAAAAGAATTGAGAACCCTGGAGTCTCTGGGATTACTGCTCTTGTTTGTGCTCAGATAGGAGACTCTTAGTGAACTTTGTATCTAGCAATCTGAGAAAGCAGGCTGCTTGAGTGGTGTAGGAAATAGCAAACAGTTCTGCTACTTCGCCTTTGCAGCCTGAGAGGAGGAGATAGCTTCTATTGCCGTGAGCTTGTGGTTTTCTGTTCTGCCTACTAATCAGGATTGTATTATTTACCTTGTTTAAAAAGACCTGTCCAAACATTTCTTCTCTCCTTTGAATTGTAGCGGGTATTAATTTACTGCTGCAAGATACACTGGAAGGATTTCTGAAAATGCTGGGAAGTGTTTCTTTAATCCCTCAAGTTGGTTAAGTACTTTATTGTAATGGAGATCATAATCTCCTGGTTGGTAGAAAAGATGAAAAGGTTACTGGGGATATTTTTCTCTTGCTGCAAAATTATTATATTAGGAAATACTTCATCCAGTTTTTTAATCCTTTCCACGTGCTGCGAGATCCTTTGGAAATCAGTTGATGGCTCTGCATTTCAGGTCTTTCCTAGGGCATCGTGCCGTGCTCGGGTCACTGTGATTGAGTTAGTGGCCTGAAGCTTTCATAGGCGAGCTTCAAACTCGCTTTCATTAGTACTTCGCGTGTACACTCTCGTAACTATGAGAGTGCTCGGCTGAGGCCACGACTGTGGCAAACCTGCAGACTTACAACATCTTGACCACTCAGCATAATTTGCTGAACAGCCAGCTAGTGAGTGGTTTCAGGGGACAAGTAAGAGGGAGCCTTTAGGCTGTGACTCTGCACATCTCCTTGCTTTGTTTTTCCACACCGATCGCGAGGGTCTGTTTTGATCTGCTCTGCAGCCTAAGTTCCCTGGTGACTTTTATTTTTATTTTCCTCTGCTTTTTCTCCCATACTGAAGAAGTCTTTGCTTGTTTGTGAGGTGGCCTCAAGTTGCAGCCCACCTTGGAAAGGAAAAATTATTAATGTATTTTTCTCTTTCTGTAGCATTTATGACGTTGCTTGCTGACAGTTATTGTTTATTAAGTATTCATGGCTTTGTAGATTGCTAACTTAGAGAATATTCAGGTTCAGCTAAGGCAGAAGATATGGAGCAATGGCTTTCCATTCTAACGGGATATTATTAAATTAAAATGAGGACTGGTCTTTTCTAATTTGACCTGTGATTGGGAGAAGATGGAGTGTCCCTCACTGGTTTTCACTCTCTGACATTGTTTGACATTTATCCTGACTGGAATTAGGGGATGGAATAGAGGATCTATTTTCTATGACTATTTCAGGAAAGGCAGTTTTGAATTACCCAAATGGCCCCTAAATTTGGGGAGGGGGGAATAAAAGGCAACAACAATAACAATTTTTTTAGAAAAACAACTTAGTGTTTGAAATCCCAAAAGGAACATTTAGCTATAATTCTAAACATTTTAGAAATTTTATTTCTTGACAAATATCAACAAATATTATCTAAACTTTAAAAATATAGACTTTTGGAATCAGCATTTTGCATCTCATCTTTCCTTCCTGTCCACCCCCTTTGAAGAGGAGTGGCTTTTGGGCCTGCCGACCACAAAGCTCTTGAACCATAATACATACTATGGGCACACAGAGCATACACTCTCTCCAACAAGCATCACTCAAGCTGAGGAAAATAAATTTATTGTCTTTTGTTCTAGCGAGTCAGCAACTAATAAATCACATTGAACAGTTTTTGGATACCAACAAAACACCGTATTTCATGAAGAGCATGGACTGCATCAAGGTCTTCCGGGAGGAAGCCATTCAGGTAATGCCATCCTGTGTCCTCTTCCTAAGCAGCTGACCACCGTCACAGGGGAGAGACATATAGCACCCCAAAGATTAGCCTGGGCTCTGAAATAATCATCCTCACTATGAGTAGCAACATATGCCAAGAGAAGTAGAAATGACTAACTCATTTTACTAACAGTAAACATTTCCAGGGGAGAATAAAAGGGGGTGGGTGATTCGAGTGAGCAGGCACTAAATTACTCTATTTTTGTTTGAATCTGTCTGTGCTAAAGGTTAAAAAACAAAGTACTGGGTCACCAGAAAACCTGTGGGACTATGGGGATTTCTGTCCCTTCAGCAAATGGAAAGATTTCTGGCTCCCAGGAGTCATAGCCGAAATTTGAAGTGCCAGTTTCCCATGTACCAGTACCAAGGAAAAACATTTTACATATTTGTAATTCCGTATATATAGTGCTTGGGGCTGAGGATGAATTCTGTTTGTGTGTGTGCTCTGACCCGCCCCCTGCTCTACCCCCATGTGCCGCCAGTTTTCAGAAGAGCAGCGCTTTAACAGTTTCCTGAAAGCCCTGCGAGAGAAAGTGGAAATTAAACAATTAAGTCATTTCTGGGAGATTGTCGTCCAGGGTAAGGTGTCATTTGTCTTTTCCTCCAAATATTTATGCTATTTATTTTCTAAGTATAAATTCTAAATATAAGTTATATTGTGTGATGTGTTATGTGAGGACCTGGTGACTTCCCATGTGGACTTGGGAAACGCTCAGATTTCAGTGAACTGAAAATATTGCTTGATAAACATAAATACAAAGTGATGAATCGTAGTAAACATGTAAGTCGCATCTTAAACTCTGCACGTTATGACCCTCAGAGATCACGCCTTTCCGTTTGAGGAGTGAAGAAGCTGTGCAGGCAGACATTACTTCCTTTCTCCGATTCTTTTAGTTCTTCGGGGTCCACAGCACTTGTCCTGACCTCACCCGCACGGTGCCCTGCTCAGCCTTTCATTGCCACGTTCTTGAGCTTTCATATCAGCAGACTGGCATCTTCATGCACCAGAGCCACTCGGTTCCTCACTTGTTCACAGGGACCAATGCAAGTTAAACGTGGAATGAAGGCAACATACATTTTTTTTCAGTTTTAGGGTTGATGTTTGATTTCCTTCATGCCCGTTGCCCATTTTCTTTAACCTGACTTGATTTTCTTCCAGAACCAAGGTATAAGATATTACCTGTTGAAAGCATATATGAAAACAATGATGTTACGAAGTATGAAACTTTTCATTTGCCGTAGAACCCCCAAATTAGTTTCAACCTGTCTTTCAGTGCAAATTCTGTATAAAAAGAGTTGCGTACCTATCTATCCAGCGTCTAACGGGCAGCCTTTCATCACACAGGCAACCATTTTCCTGACAGTTAATTTTTCAGCCTTTTAACTTCTACACTGGAGAGCAAAAGCAATTAGAATAGGTGGTGAATGGGGCTTACTCAGATCACTTTTGTGTCCCTGCTGCCAACCCAGGAGATGAAAGAGATTGGGTTTGGTATTTATTGAATGCCTCCAGCACATTGTTTGCTGAAAAGAAACTTGCAGGACACATGCAAGATACATGTTTTCTGAGAGCCTATATCCTACTTAGAATACACATGACCTGTGCCATTTCTAGGCACAAATGGATGTTAAATGCATGTGCTTTTCTGAAAGCGTTTCATGCATCAGCCATTTGAGGCAGAAGAAAATTTTAGGAAGAAGAGAAAACTAAAGGGTCGCTTTTCTATCCTTGGTTTGTTCTCACTGAGCTAAAATTGATGTACTGTGCTCAGTGACAGATAAGGCCAATGTAAGAGCGTGTTTCCTCCTGACCTCAGCTCTCTCATCGTCTCGTCAATGGCTAGTAACACTGCTAGAAGTCAGAATGTCTGCAGATCCCATCTGGTACCTAATGGATTTGGACCAAAGTATAGTCACTCAGTTACCATTTGTTTACTGAGCTCCTGCTACGTACTACATTGGAGGGAATATAAAGATGAATTAAATATAGTCCCTGCTCTAGAGAAAAGTATAGTTAGGAAAGATAAAATATGTACAAATAGTTATACAAGATCAAATATGGTGAGAGCCATTTCAAGGGGATAAACAAGGTGATCTGAGAATTCTGATGGAGAGATTCAATGCTACCTTCACACAGCAGGTAGCATTTGAGATGTGGCCTTCATTTTATACAAGCAAAAATAGGAGAAAGAATAATGTAAGATGGAAAGAATAATATGAGTTCAGTGCCTTTAATAAAGTTTTATTTTTCTTACAGAGAAGAGCATCTTTACAGTTTTAAAAATCTCCAGTGCAAAAATGGGAGGAGGTGTGGTGGAAAGGAAGATGGGTTTGGGATTGATTCTTTGTACATGGATTTCACTCTGTGAATTACTTTTTAGATGGAATTACTCTGATCACCAAAGATGAAGCTTCTGGAAGCTCTGTCACAGCTGAGGAAGCCAAAAAGGTATTGGAGAATAACTACCTGTTTTTAGATGAGCTATCACAGTGGATATTATTTTCTTGATACCAGTTCTCCCTTGAAGAAGTAAGATTCTAAAGGTAACTAAATTAGCATATCATTCTTTACTCAACCAACAGGCAAATTCCTTCAGCTGTAGCATCCTTGTGGGACAATTGTAATCCACTCAGCTTTCCATAGGCTGTGGTGATGTGTCTAGAACTCATCTGTAATCATAGCTCCTGAGGTTCATGGTGCACACCACATGTAGTCTAGACCCTGGCAAAGGCTATCCCTCCAGCCCAGTGATTCCCAGCCAAGCCACACGTTAGTCACCTGGGGAGCTATTAAAAAAAAAATGCTGATGGCAAGCACCCCTTCCTCTCCCCTGAGATTCTGTTGGTATGAGATGGGTTTGGGGCATGGTTTTGAGTTTTTAAAGCCCCTCAGGTGATTGTGAAGTGCAGCAAGGTAGAGCACACAAGTATTCCAACGTAAGGCATATCCAGGTGTTTACAGTAAAATACCTCATGTATGCGGGTCCCACAAACTTCCTGTTGACACAGTTAGTGGGCCCAAGTCTTCTGCTTGGTGTATGAGTATTGAATCTGATTCAGCTATGAGCCAAATGCATGTGGCTGTTTATCTCAGTAACCCTTGATTTCTGATGCAGTTTTAATGAAACTAAATTGAGTAGCTCAAAAGTATATGGTTTGTAACAGTCAGCATCTTTTACAGTCACTGATTGAGCTCGGTCCTGGCAGCTGTCAGTTAACGTGCTAAGCCTCTGCTTTATGCTGGGCACTGTGCTGGATGATAAGACAGTACCCCTGCCCTCTAGAAACTCCGTCGGTCACAAGGTAGCAGTGGAGACTCAAGAATTAACTACACACACTAAGGGAGAGTTTGGTCTAGGACTGTTGGGAGCAAGGCTGGAAGTGTTCATCTGTGGCTAAATTTAAGGCAAATTTAAAATGCCTTGAATTTTTAGCTCAATAAAGGCATTCAGTAAAAACCATAATATTTTTTGGGAGAGAAGTTAGAATATACAAGAATTTTTATTAAGCCTGGCAAAAGCGTTTTGTTAAAGAACAGATTACAGCCCCTGCTTTCAGGAAGTAAGATCCCAGAATTTAAAATGCACGCTGAGATGCTGATGACCGTCTCAGAACGGGTTCCATGGCATCTGTATCCCATCCTGCCGCAGTCAGTGCTGAGTCCTGTGGGCATCAGAGTGTCATTCAACTGCTTGATTTTGTTTCTGTTTGTTGCTTTATACAATGGCATGATGATATTTACCCCCTGAACTAGAGTGTTACTCAGGACTCTCCAGAGAGACAGAACCAAGAGAATGTGTGTGTGTTTGTGTGTGTGTGTATGTGTGTGTGTGTGTGTGTGTATGGGGTTGGTGAAGTCTGATTTATTTTAAAGAATTGGCTTACACAATGGTAGGGGCTGGCAAATCTGAAATTTGTAGGGCAGGCCAGCAAGCTGGCAACTTTTAGACAGGATTTCTGTGTCACAGTCTAGAGGCAGAACTTCTTCAGCTGATTGGATGAGGCTATCAACATTGTGGAGGGTAACTGTCTCTGCTTAAAGTCAGCTGTTGTAAATGTTAATCACATTTACGAAATACCTTCACAGCAACATCTGGACTAGTGTTTGACTCAACAACCGTGCACCATAGCCTAACCGAGCTGACACGTAAAATCACATAGGGGGAAGGCTTATCAGTCAGCTTTTGCTAACAGGTAAAATAAGTCAAGGCAAATAATTTAATTTTAATCATTATTGCATTAAAAAAAACTGTCATCAGGTGAAAATTGAGTATGTGTTACAGTTTTGCAGGAAGAGGAGAGAAAAGAGCACTGGTCTGAAAAAAGGTAGTTTTTCCCTTGCAGCGGTACATCTTAACCAAAGGCATCACCGCTGAGTGAATCCAGAATATTAGAGGGGGAGGAAGTCTAAGGAGGAATAACATGCTTCTTGAAAATGTCTGAGGCTTATTCTTTGTTGCAAATGCAATGTCATCTTTAGAATTTAAGGGCACAGAGCCTAACCATCAGGAATTTTAATGTCTGATAATGAAGCTACAGAGAGGAATTTCAGTTAAGCCTAGGAATGGGGTGGTGTCCTTACGAGACTGTAGTACCAGCAGAACTGATTTCAGCTGGTTGCAGTTTCAGACAACTCAGAAAACGCCACCAGCTTTGAACAGGTAGAGAACAAGGTCGGCGCAGTGGAGTGGAGGCTGTTCCCGTGGCTCACCGTCAGCGCACGTTCGGGCGTGTCTGACTCGCAGGGTTATGCCTGTGTGTGCTTCAGTGCCACATGAACCCTTCATTTTTCAGAATGAAAACCCAGTCCTTTACATTAAAAATGTTTTTAAGTTGCACAGGTTGATTTTTGGAGAGAAGGGTAGAAGGGAGAGTGCACCTACAGATGATAGAAGAATTGCCGAGTTGGGTTCTGACTCACGGAAGCTGATTCCTTGTGATTAAATAGGAGAGTCATGCTTCGTCTTCAGCTTTTTCTCTTAGCAAACTTACAGACGTGCAATCACTTTTGACCGTGCCCTGAAATACTCATTTACACTGCCTTCAAAACAAGTTCAGTCCCTTTCCAAATAATCAATTAAGGAAACTTGGCTATAATCAGAGAAAGTGAAGACCAATTCTAATGGTCCACTTGAATTCTTTCAAGGTATTTACCATAAGTTATTTATAGTTAACTAGCTGTCACATTGTGTCTATTAAATGTTGTTTGTTAATTTGAAAGGAAATAATTATCCAGGGGTATCCATTTCAGATGAAAAATAAATCATAACTTTATACTTGTACATCTTAAGGGGAGCTATTTCCCTCTGATATAGTCTAAAAATATGTCCATTTTATGATTCTTTGAGACATATAGGTAAGTCAGCCTTGCTGCGGAGATAGAAAATTCTTTCATGACATAAGCTTAGATAGTTCTTTTCAATAACTGATACCCCTCATTTCATTCTGAAGACCAGACAAATATTACCCCTCTTTACATTCATTTCTGTTGTCGTTATAACCTGTCAGTTCTTTCACTTAACTTTTTCTAATTGTTACTGTCAGACATGCTGTTAACATTTGATGTTTGGTAAAGCCTTTTTTATATATATTTTTCTCCAGTTTTGTTTTATTTCTTTATATTTATTGAGGTGACATTGGTTTATAACATTACATTTCTGTGTACAACATTATATGTCAACTTTTGTGTACACCACAGCACACTCACCACTGAAAGCTGAGTTTCCATCCATCACCAGACCATTGACCCTTTTACCCATTTTGCTCTCTCCTTGACCCGTTTCTCTCTGGTAACCACTACTGCCTTCTCAGTCTCTGTGTGTTTATTTTGTTTAGTTTGGTTTGTTCATTTTCATTTTTTTATATTCCACATAAGATCAAAATCATTTGGTATTTGTCTTTCTGCATCCAACTTATTTCACTTAACATAATATTCTCAAGGTCCAAAATTCAAAAAGATGTATACATGTCTGTGCTCACAGCAGCATTATTTATAGTAGCTAAGATATGGAAACAACCTATGTGCCCACTGATGATGAATGGGTAAAGAAGATGTAGTGTATATATACAGTGGAATACCACTGTCGTAAAAGAGAAGAAATATTGCCGTTTGCAACAACATGTATGGGCCATAGTAGCTCCTGTGTACCCTTTCTCTGTCCCATCATTCACAGGGCATGGCTCTGTGGTGGGAGGAGGTGTGGCTATTTATCCTGACACATTCCAGGGGCATCTGGGAAGTCCTTTGCCCCAAACCATAGTCAGTGAGAGACCTGGACTTGTGAAAGGTCAAGATAGGTTGATTCTTCATTTGAAGTTTATCGTCTTTACAAAAAAAAAAATTTTTTTTTTTGAAGTTTCTCCTACTAACCTGTGTTAGGATTAGAACAGTGGTTCTCAGCTGGGAGTAATTTTGTTGGAGACATTTTTGGTGATTAGAGCAGGGGGCATGCTACCGACTCCTAGTGGGCAGAGACCTCCACAACAAAGAATGGCACCATTGAGAAGCCCTGAGCTAGAAGAATTTAAACAAGCCAGATTCTTAACTAAGGCAGAGGATATTGGCTTATTTTGTATAGAATTTTTTTCAGCTGGAAAGAATCCTAATAATCTAGCTAAGTTTTTATTTTTAAAACTTCTCAGCAGTTGGACAGTGGGAGCAGAAAACTGGGATTTCTTTTGCCGATGGGACTCGGAAGAACCCTCAGGTTTTATAGATGAAGAAACTTAGGGCTATGAGAAGTGAAATGCCGTGTCTGAGATCTTGTCGTAAGTCACTAGTCAGGAATCCGGTTGTAGGAATGACCCCCCAGCCGTCCGTTCTTCTTACTCAGTGTTAAGAGCACAGCGGGAAAAAGAATTTATTCCTGTGGCTTTGGAGTATTGTTTCTCATGGGATTCCAGGAGGCTGAGCTATGTCTAAAGAATCATTTGATACAAACTCTGTGGGGGAAAAAAATCATTATTTTAGCACTTGTTTTCCTTGTAGCTGCCTAATCTAGCCTTCTTTATTGTTGTTGACATTTATTGATTTTTCCATCTTAGCATCATAGATGCTCAATGCTTAGCAGTCTGGTCATTTTCCAGATGCCATCTGGAGAGGTGGAGTTGACTTGCTCAGCATCTCAGCAGGTTCATGGCCAGTGAGTGACGAGAACCCAGACCCCGGGCTCCTTCCGTAGTCATCTTACTCCACACCATGACGCCACCTCTCCATCCCTCCCCCCAGAGTACCAGCAGCCACACCTGCGTGAGGAACAGAAGCTCGTGCTTCCTCTTTCAGAAGTACACCCAGTTTTCTGTGTGTCAGAGACCTTGTGAAGGAGCATAACTGCTGGCCCCTATTGGACCCCATGATATTTTCCTTTGTTCTTTTCCACTTTCCTTTTCTGCCTTCAATCTCTAGTATAGTTGTTCTATATGCTAGTACAAGAAAAGTAATAGTTAAAATATCACAGCGTTAACTTACATTTGTTTACAGCTTGATACTTTTAAGATACAATTTTTAAAACTATCAAGGATGAAACATACATACAGTAAATGCACAAATCTTAAATGTGTATGCTGATAAATTCTTATGTATTCATATATCTGGATACCCACCACCCAGATCAAAATACAGAACATTTCCAACACCTCAGAAGGCTCCCTGACATCCTTCTCAGTCAGAACCCCCAAGATAACCACTATTCTGACCTCTGTCACTTGAGAGTAGTTTTGCCTGTCTTAACCGTCATATAATTGGAATCATGCCTTTTATGATTCATCCATGATGTTAAAATTGTTCATTCTTTATTGCAGATATGTAGTATTCTCTTTTATGGTTATATCATAATTGATTCATCCATTCTTCTAACGTTGGACATTTTTGATTGTTTCCTAACCTTGGCAGTTGTGAGTAAACATGCTGTGGGTATTATTGTATGTATCATTTGGTAGACACATATTGTGTGTATCCTAGGGCTTGGAGCATAAAGCCTACAGTACACAAAGCACTTTTGTGCATGTTATTTCATCTGAAAAGCAATATAATCCCATGAGATAGGTAGGGTCAGTAGTAGTATTCCCATTTTATTTTTTGAGGAAGACCGGCTATAGGCAGGCCAGGTGGCTTGCCCAGGGTTACTAAGAAACAGGCAGAGCTTGGATGGTGCTTCTGTTCCCCCACACTAGTTTGAAGAATTTCTCTGCTGCACTGTATTGTCTTTATAGCATGAAATCAGCATTAATGAAACCTAAGTATGTGTCATTTTAGACAAAATACATGCAAATGGACTTTCATTCTTCCTGATGCTTTTGTACGTCTGGATTATGGGTGATTCTTTGGAATCGCCTGATAGTGTTAGAATCAGCCCAGTGGAAGCCTTGTGTTTTTAATTTGGGGATAGCTCAGGGTCTGAGCACAAGCTGATTTTTAGTGTTTAGTCTTGTGGAGGAATCGGACTGGAAGCTTCTATACAGAGATTATTGATTCACTTTCTCTGCCTGTGACCAGGCTTGTATTTCAGTGTACTTGAGAGGTAGTAGTTTATCTGTTTTATAAAGATCTCCAAGCAAGGAGGTAATCCCAAGTAAATGATGGTGGTTTGAGGGTGGAGCACTGTGTCACACAGGTGTTCTTTCTCTTTACTGTCTACTCTTTCAGCATATTGCAGAGAGAAAGAACATAAGAAAAGTCGGGAGTTGACTTGTGTCCCTTTCTGCTGCATTTAGAGAATCTGTTGCTTTTATTGAGAAAACAGGCCAGTCACTGAAGTCTGTGCTTTATCTCTAGCTTCCCTGTCACTGCACAGCCTGGAAATTACTTGCAGTTAAAAACCCTGATGATGAGGAGTGATATGTGCATGAGACCAGCCTCGCCCAGGGCTCTGGGGAGGATAATGGATGGCAGTCCCGGTTTGAGCCATAATTTGCTTGCACAGACACGGGAAGCAGATCTGCCAGGAAGCCAGTTGCAGATGTTTAGCACTTGGTGGAAATGAAGGGGAAGTTTGCTGCTGCTGCTGCTCCTCTCCTCGGAACCTGGCCTCATCTCAGAGCTGTGCCACTAGTGTTTAACTGTGTATACCATGCTCACACCGCTCAGACGGTTCTGTCTTCATTTACCCTGTAGTTGCAGTGTGAAGGGGGCTTTGCAGGTGGGGAGGGAATGGGAATTGGAGCCTTTAGAGGCTGTGTGCAAAAAAACATTAGGAATTCTCTAGATTCATCAGTAAGTACCTGCCATGTATCAGGTTCCTAAGGGATAATAAAAGATATAGTTGACATAGAACCATGAGACCATAGAGTCTGTATTTGGAAGGTCATTTGTGCCCCCCGCCCCCAGAGGTTTATGCTCTACTTTTTAGTCTCTGCAACCCAACTGGATAAGGCTTTATCCCCTTGCCTGATGTTCTTGATGTAGGGGTTAATGATAATGAGTAGGAGAGGGAAGGTACAAAGTGAAAATCATTTTTAATATTGGTAATTAGGAGAATCATAAATAAAGATTAATTTGGGAATCTAAGAGCAGAGTTTAATCTTTAGGTGTAAACCATATGCACATACATGTGTGGATTTCTTACTCATTTATCTCTGTGTGGACCTCAGATACCTTTATTAATAATCAACCAGAATAAATAGATAGAATTAACGATACGGAGGCTGTACTACAGTTCTGTTCCAGACTGTGCTTCCATTGCTAGCATGTTCTGTCTGCTGAACTAGATTCCCAGCACTGAGCATGGTCCAGGTGAGCGTCAATAAAGTGTTATGGAAAGATTTATATATGTCTTTAGAAGAAGATAAATTCCCTAGTCTCTCAGTCAAAATTGAAGTTAATGAATGATGAGATGATTTTGACTGTCGGGGAAAAAGCCCAGGAGGGAGGTTGAGTCAGAAACAAGCCGCCACGGCCCTGTCCATTGTACTGACGAGGCACCGGCCAGTTCTGCCGGTGCTGTTCTCCTGCCTGCGTGTGTGTCTCTGCGCACGAGTGGAGGGACAGGCAGCACTTGCTTCCTGAGATTTGTGCACAACCTAGTATTTTAATGGTGACTTTGCTTTGTGATTTGTCAAAGGGACATATTTTAGTCTAATTATAAATCTTAGGTTTCAGAGACCTCTGTTGTGTCCACTGTACCATAAAAATCACTAAACTATAAAGGGAAGGCAGTTCTTGCCATGTTTTCAAGGAGAGAGTGAGAAAAGTATGTGTGAGTACACCTTTCCCTCTTGGGTGGAGACTGCCGCAGAAGCTTAGTGGCCTGGGGATCTCACTCAGCGCCCGCGTGCTCCGTGCACTCTGACCCTGAGGATGCTCACGGGAGAGGCGTGCCTCACCTCCCACCTCCCCTTCCAACAACACCTACTCCTGCAGGCTTGGCTCTGCTACCATTTTAAGTCCTTATGCTGCCAGAAGATTAGCTCTGGTGTTAGGCTGGGAAATGGTTGATAGAACAGTTCTTAGATGCAGTTACCACGCACCTCGAAGGAAAAGAGTCCCCACTGCTATCTCTTGGAGGGACAGGATGGAGAGCAGGAGTGTTGGGAGAGTCTTAAGGGCACTCACATCCCTTTTAAAATCTGGGTTGCATTCTTAGATCCTCGCAGGCTTCGGTTCAGGATCCTTGCTTTTCTATGTATCTGCCTTTTAGAAGCTCCGTGTCTGGAACACTGATGCTAAACAGAAGTGTACATTTGAAGTTTTCTCAATCATTTTCCTGTTTTCAGACAATTTCCAACACAAATGAGAGGATTTCCAGAAAAGAAATTGAACAACCTCCCAAGCTCACCCATTTTTGTGTTTCACATCTCTTAAAAGAAGTCCTTCCTTTTACCTTTTTGTTCTCACTAGGGTTGAGGGAGAGAGGATTGTAACCTTTAAGTTCAGACACTTTCAGAAGAAGCCGAGACATACTGATTTGGGGTGTTTGGTTGTTTTTTTTTTAACCCTCATGAGTCCACATACCCTTTGTGGAGGCAGAAATGGGAATATCAGGTGTCCTCGGTGCCTGACGTAGGACCCTCCACCTGCCCCTTGCCTCAGCAAGCCATGTCATTTCCCCCCTCTTCGTAAGAGCTTTCTCTGACTAGTTAGTGTGGGCTCTTCAACCTCAGAATTGGTCCTCTCATCCAGGGCTAAACGGAGGAGCATATGTCAAGATAATATTTCTTTTGGGCCATTTGCATGTGTCCCTCCATCAAAAGGGGCAGAAATGACCTTTTGGTATCATGCCTGACTTTCTGTTCACAGTTTCTGGCCCCCAAAGAAAATGCAAAGGAAGACACAGCGGCCATATTTGAGGAAGGTGGTGATGTGGATGATTTGGTAAGTACTTCTAATATATACCAGGTGTTCTAGTGAGTGAAATTGCCTAAACTGTAAATACAGCCACAAAGCCTGCTTATCACAGACTTGCTTCTTATTTGTGTTTTAATTTCTAACACACCAGGAGCTCTCCGCACTGTTATTTATTGCTGTTGTAAATTTAATCAGATAAGTAATTTCATAATGGACATCCCTGTGCTCTGTGGTTTTCTCAGTTTATTGTTCACTCAGTTTAATCCTCTCCTTTGAAGGACTGAAAAAGAGCTGGGGGAGGCTATTCCTTTAGCAGCAAAATGTCATAATTTACTGAAATTGCTCTCAACCAAAATAGGCAATACAACATGCAGTTTTTGTGGGATGACAAATAAAAACAGCCTTTAAAAAGCCTAATTCTTTAATGTTCTCAATTAACAATGTAAACAGAATAGGCTGATAGGCACTTGGGGATTTCTGGACCTTACCACACCACGCCTGGCAGCCTGGGCAGCTGTGTAGAAGTGTTGGCCTTTGTATCCATCTTTCATGTGTGGAAACTTCCTGCTTTTAAGCCTCACAGGACAGCAGTCCAGTCAGAACTTCAGCTTTTTTGTGGAGAAGTTCTTAGTACTGAAATGAAGAGATACTTAGAATTTAACTCTTAAAATGATTGACAGTGAGTGAGTGTGCAAGTTTATGCAGACTGCCAGTGAAGAGAACCGTTGTCAGTAAACTTCCTTCCCAGAGAAGCAGTGGTCTGGAGGTGGCCCGGTTCCTTTCTCAACGTGTTGTTCCTGTTTACAGCTGGACTTGATATAGACCACAGATGTGTGGGGAATCTCCAAGAGCTGCTGTCACGGTGGTGCTGAGAGTCCTACACGGAACACCCTGGAGGGGGCCAGCCAAGGGAACCGGAAGCTCTGGAGGTGGTCCCTGCAGGTCACACAAAAGTGAATCACCTCATTCCCAGTGGAATGAACACAGACATGTAAAAGGGATAGTTTAGACCCCATGCAAGCTTGTAAAGAGTCATGGTTATTTTCTCATCATCAGTGATGTGTTTCTTTTGGGGTCTTATTGAGCTCCATATGTCACGCTCATGCTTTGAAGTTTCTGGAAGATAAATTTCACCCTGGCCTGGTAGGTTGGTGAGGACTGCAGCCCTCACGAGGTTATCTCGTCCAGAACTGTGACATGGACACTGGTGGGTTCCTCAGTCCTCCCTGGAGATCCTGCCCATTGTCTGACCCTCTAACGGCATCACAGCTGACACTGATCAAAGGATGGCATTAGTTTCTCACAGCAGAAAGCTGACTTTGGAGAACCATGGCCAAGGGCTGACCCATTTCTCTTTTTACTTAAGCCTTTTTAGTCACCAAATTACTTTGGCTGTACAGCAGAGGGGGAGGGGGAGGGCACCGTTCCCTGTGTTCCCATTTGAAGCAGTGAGTTACGGTAACGCTCACATGAAGGAAAGATACCCACCCTCTGACATATCGCTGAGCTCTAAAAAAGCAAACCAACTAATAGAAACACAATGACTGAGAGATTCACTACCAGTAGTTAGGATTCTATCATTTCATTACTCTACTTGCTGCTCTCACAGAAAGTTTGGTTGTGTTAAAACACTTCTTCCTTAATTTCCTAGTCTTTTCCAGCTCTACCCAAGTCTCCTTTCCTGTCTCTCTGAATGATGTTTCCTTTCCTAAAATAAAAAATAGCAAGCCCTTATTTTTTCCTATCCTCACTTCTTTCCCGAGTTCCAGCTCCTCCTCCCTTGGTGTCATAAACTTCATGGTGCTCAGTCTCCTGTATCCTCAGCAGCCCCATAAATGACCATTGATTCACTTCATTTCGCAAACATTAATATTAAAGGCGTCAATGATTCGTTCCTCCTGTGGATTGCTGCTCATTAGTAATTGTCTGCAAAAGAACTCTTCAGTTTTGTGCTGAGACTAAAGACCCTCTGTGCCTTGACTGAAAATGGGCCTCCCTGAGGGGAGAGGGGAGCGGTCTGCTCTGGGCCCTAGCACTTCCCCTCATACCGTGCACCTCTGAGTCAGCCGTGACGTGCAGCTCCCCATTGCAAGCGACCCCAGTGAAGGATGTCATATCTTACTGTCCAGTTGCACAGTTAAGGCCCAGGGAAGGTTTGTGACCTGGATGAAACTGGGACATTTCACAGAATCAAGAGGGAAGACTGTTCTCTAAGTTCTACGTCACCCTCGTCAGATCCTCCTGGCCGTATGAGTCAGTTCAACGAGAATGGCCTCGTAAGCATCCCTTGTCTTTGTCGGTTTGGAGAATTCTCTCTTGGAAACATCCATGTTTTCATCAAACGAGGAAAAGTTTGGATCAGGTTAACCCTCTGTGATGCTTTTTGATTTATGTTAGCACAGTGAGATTGTGCTTCCCCTCACCCCGCTTCTACCTACGCTGTCTGACTACCTGAAGGAAGAAGCGAGTTCAGCAGGCTGGGGAGAGAAAGGACCAAATTAGCCATGTAATTTCTAAATCCACTTCCTGTGGGCAGGGTATAGGTGCTGGGCGGACTTGGTCAGAACTTACCGTTTCGAGTAGGGACATCATGTTTTAGGTGAACGCACCAAGGCCCCATTTCCCTGAAATTCGGTTGGCAGATGTGTAGGACCCCCCAGGCGCTCTGCCAGCCGTGACCTGGGAGAGCAGCACGCAGTGCGGCATCGTCAGTCGGCCACAAAACCGTTAGTCCCACAAACGATAGGTCTTGTGGGAACTGAAGTCGCTGTCAGTCTGTCACCTTTGGTCCTCGGTGTCACTAACATTCATTGACTCATAGAGAAGGCAGAAGTAAAGGAGGAAGCTCCATCCCAGTCACAACCCCAGCAGCCCCTTGAGGGTGTGTGCTGGGCTGCCCCCTGTGAAGAACCAGTTTTAAATTTTGGATTATGATCCCTTGCCAATTAATTTACATATAAAATTTAGACTTGGAAAAATCTTTGGGAAGCCATGCTGAGCATAGGCAGTGTTTCATCTAGTCCAGGATGGTTTCTGAAAGTAAATGAACACATACATACTTCTGTTTTGAATATGCACCGTGCTAACGACTGGCTTTGCAGCTAATCTGGATTCAGGCAGCAGATACTCTGTTTGGTCCGCTGTCTCCCACTGGCCTCACTTTGTACTGCCCCCTTCTTCTCCCAGGGATTCTGGGTTCAGAACACAGGCCGGCAACTCAGTCAGAGTGGATGCCGTGAGGGGACGGTGTGGGTGAGGGAGAGAACACTAGGCCAGCCGAGCTCTGCATTCGAGTTCCCCTGCTGCTTGCTCTGGGGTCTTTGTCAAGGTGCTGAACACACCGTCCGGGCTTAGTACGGAAGAGCACCCCCCTGAAAGTACTTTGTGCACTGTATTCTCGCCACATCCGAGAAGTGCGGCACAGGCGGCTGCTGGTGATTCTGTGGCTCAGTGATGTTGTGGCTGAAGACCAATTCTTTTGGCCTTTCCCTCGTCTCATTCCCGTTCCAGGCAGGAAAAAAGGTGGGCAGGGAGGCACCAGCTGTGGCTGCCTCTTCCTTAGGAAAGACAGGGGTGGTCCTAATACAGCAGACTTCTTTTAGCAAAACTTTGCCACATGTCCAATTCTCGCTGCAAGGGAACCTGGGGAACTGAGAAGATCTACGTTATTTCAGCCACCCCAGCTTGGGGCAGGTCAGGGAGAAGAGGGTGGAAAGTGGGTTAGCCGACCGGCACTGCCACCCCGTTCCTTCACTGCTGTGTAAACTCCCCCTTCTAGACTTCCATTTTGCTTGCATATGGTAATTGGTGGGTTTGTTTCAGATTTAAACACAGTTAATTGAAGTAACACTTCCAAAACACAAGCTAGTGAGTGTTGGTAAACTCCAGACCCCCCAGCCCTCCTGTTCATCATCTTCTATCTTGTGTCACAGCCAGAGATTCTGTGGAAATCTCTGGATGAGCCGGAGCAATTCCTGCTATCTGCCATAATGCTCAGGGCCTACAGGGGCCTGGGGCAGCGCTGGGGGTGCTGTCCCTCCCGTAGCCTTTTTACTGGGAGGAGTACAGCCCTTCCTCCCACCGTGACCACTGGCCCAGGCTTGGCAGCTGTGGGACTTGGAGGCGCCTGGAGGAAAGAGTCCAGACGTGGAGTTTCAGTTCTATAATCCAGGCTTAAGTCGTCTGCAGTCTGTGCCGTTTGGTGATTCCACAACTCCTTTTTCATTCTTCCTCTCCCTGTGCGAGCCTACCTTTTAATTTCCACTGAATACAGTGAATCAGAGCCCAGCCTAAAATCATACTGCCTACATTTCAAATTCTGCCTCTACCATCGCCTGGCTGTGGACCAGGGCCAAGTCACTTAGCCGTTCTCAGCCTGTTTATGCAGCTGTCAGGCAGGGTTTGTTGGTTGTACCCAGCTTCCAGGGGTGTCAGGATGAATGAGGACGACCCAAAAGAACACCCCTGACCCTCCGTGGATTAGCTGATCAGGAACAATGCTCAGAGAGACAGTTCCGTCTCCACCCCTAACCTGCTCTGTGTCCCGGGGTGCATCATTCCAACCAGCCACCTGTGTTCTGCAAAAGGGACACCTGCCTCTGAGGGGTGGTGGAGTAGAAGGTGAAGAATGGGAAGCCCTCTGAGAGAAAAGAACTCGAAGGCATTTGAGTTCTGGGTGTGCACACTCCCTTACGTGTGTGTTTCGGAACCTCGGCAGCTGGGTCACATCGCAGCGCGTCACTTTGGCCCCTTTGTTTAAAGCCTCACCTCCCCTTTTTCTGACTTCCTGAGCCCTGATACTCCAACAGCGTCAGGGTTAGATGCCTTTTATGGGCCACTATAATCAGTAGAGATTAAACCTAATGGAGGTTTAATCACTGCTCATAAACTGCCACGCGCCCACCGGCACAGGGAGGCAGGGGAGTGCAGGGCTGCCGAGAGGACACTGGCAGGTTCAGGGCTGAAGGGTATAGTGTGCGCATGCCTGTGCAGTAAGAGATGGTAGAAGGGAGCACATCATCCCTTGACTTTACACACACGTGTGCATGCAGACTCAAACCCTCCAACACATACATACACATATGCACTCATTACACAGGCAAGGCACAACCCTGTCCCAGCGAGCACACACACGCATATGCCCTTGCTGGGCCACCGTATGCGTTTCCGAGGGTGTCTTCTCATAAGGAACCACTATTGGATTAGGAAGAGCCCACCTTACTCCCCGAGGACCTCATCTTGAGTAATTACATCAGCAACGACCCTATTTCCAAACAAGGTCACATTCTGAGGTCCTGGGGGTTAGGACCTCAACAGAGCTTCTGTGGGGGACACAATTCAACCAGTAATAGCCACTGAGGTTGTTTATTATGTCTGCAGATAATGCATGTGTGGAACTAGAAGAAAGAGACGTGGTACAGAGAGGAGGGGGGTGGAGCTGGACACACACACGCGTGAGCAGGCCTTTGGGGAGTGTGTCTGTATCTGTCAGATACCTAGGACAGCACCTGAAACACAGAAGGGACTCAGTAATTTTCGTCCTCTTCTTTCTATAAATACAAAAAAGAACGTGTGTGTGTGAGAGATGGTTTTGCTCGATGAGGTGATGAACATTTGTCCATCTTGTGTGAGTGCAAGGGGTCAAGCTGTGGAGAGAGAATCTGTTTACTGTGAATATGAAACAAACTGCAGAGTGTTCTCTAAGTGTTAGCTGTTACTACTGATAATTCTGTGACTTTGTATCCCTTTATTCATGCATTCTTACATGTTATGAGGAAAGAGACCACACGGTCAGTGTCTTATCTGGTCCCAGGCTTGTGATGCTACCACGTTTGTCCTCATCAGAGTACGTGGGACACAGGCTCTTACCAACACCAAGGCTGCTGGGAAGGAGTGCTTTTCTTCTTGTTCCAGCTACCCCACAAGCTGGTCCCCCTGCCCACCCATTCCCTGACATGTGTCCTACGTTCCTTGTCTATAAAATTCAGTGTAATAAACATACACTGAGCACCTGCTATATCCAAAACACTGAGGGGCACTCTGGAAGATGGGA